TCTGCTTTATCTACTCGACGGGGTCGAGTATTTCTCCCACCCCGGGAGAGTTGATGCGGACATCCATTTATTATTTTCTATTTGGACTATTAGTTATATTTTATTTGGACTATTGTTTATGTTTTCATTATTGGGCTTGTTTAGTGGGTTTGGCCCAAGCCCTTCTCTTTAGGGTTTGTGTTTTGCTATTTATTTCTGTTTTGTTTCTCATTTGAGACAGTTGATGATGAATTAGAATTGAAAGTTGGTTTTGGCTTGCAGTCGGCCGTTTTCCCCCTTGCTTCTCCCTTTCTGTCCCCTGGTCTCCCCTCGTTCCCCCTTGTTTCTCTCCGGTTCCTCCCCCTTTCTTACTGCTTCCGTCTTCTTCTTCATCTTCTGGTTATGCTATATTCTGCCTGTTCTAACTACTTTGCAGGAATTCATTTTCATCCTGCATCACTATCCCAACGCTGGATGGATGTTTGAGTGAGTTGTTGAGAGAGGAGCAGTGTCTTATCACTCATACCTCTTTGGAACAGCAACAAAATCAAATAGCACCGGTTTCAGTTGCATATGTGGCTCAAGGGAGATCTAAATCTCGGGATATGTCTAGTGTGCAGTGTTACAGTTGTAAAGGGTTTGGTTACATAGCTCTTCAGTGTCCTAAAAAATGTGCAATTATTGCAAGAAGTCTGGACTTGTTATTTAAGGAGTGTCCTATTCGTCCTCCTTATAAGACTGGAGCAGGTTATGTTGCTATCGCTACCTTAGCCTCCAATTCTGCTACGCCAGTTGCATCCTCTCAAGTTTCAGCCTCTCCCAGTTCTTCCCAAAATACCATCACTCCTGAAATGATCCAACAAATGGTTATCTCTGCTTTGTCGATCTTAGGGGTCTCAGGTAATTCATCAACAACCTCTTCGTCTTTGTTATTAGACTCAGGTGCTTCTAACCATATGACCCATAATTCTCGATTGCTTAATAATCTTAGACCATATATTGGACCTCTCCATTTACGTACAGCCGATGGTAATTCACTTCCTATCTTGGTCATGGGTGATATATCTCCAAATTTGTCAAATGTCTCAGTATCTCCTAGTCTATCAACTAACCTTATATGTATTGGTCAACTTGTTGATAACAATTGCATCGTGTCTTTTTCTTCTTCAAGCTGTCTTGTACAGGATCAGGTGTTCGGGAGGACGATCATGAGGGGGCCTAAGGAGGGACGTCTCTTTCCTATTTCACCAAAACCTGTTTCGCATTTTCCCATTGTTTGCAATTCCGCTACTTTTAATATCTTTGATTGGCATAAGAAATTGGGACATCCCAATAATAATGTATTGCAACATTTGTTAAACTCTGGTTTGGTTGGTAATAAAACTTCTGCTTCAGTTTCTTCTATTTCACTTGATTGTGCTTCATGTAAACTTGCTAAGAGTAAAATTTTACCGTTTCCTTCTCATGGTTCCCATGCTTCACAAATTCACTTTTATTGATGACTATAGTCGTTTTACATGGGTTTATTTTCTTCGTGCGAAGAGTGAGGTTTTCTCGATATTTCAGGGTTTTCTTGCCCTCATTTACAATCAATTTTCCTTAATCAAAGTCCTACGCTCTGATTCGGGAGATGAATATATGTCTAATGCGTTTCAATCTTTCTTACATACCAAAGGTATTATTTCTCAACGAACTTGTCTTTCTACTCCTCGACAAAATGGGGTGGCAAAACGCAAGAGTCGTCATCTTCTTGACATGGTTAGAGCTCTTTTGATTGAATCTTCTGTTTTTTCTCGTTTTTGGTATGAAGCCTTGTCTACAGCTATTCACCTCATACATCGATTGCCTTCTTCCACCCTTGGTAATACTTCTCCATTTTATAAACTCTTTGGCCATTATCCCACATATTCTCATCTTCGTCCCTTTGGTTGTGTTTGTTTTGTTCATTTACCACCTCAATCTGCAAAGTGTGTTTTTTTGGGATGTGGTGGGAATCATAAGGGATATGTTTGGTAAGATCCCACGACACATTGCATTAGGATATCTCGTAATGTTGTATTCTTTGAAAAGCAATCTTTCTTCACCTCTGAGGTTGTTCTTTCTCCTCCCGTGTTCTCTATCTTGTCTGATTTTCCTACAGGTTCATCTCGATACAAGTCGGGTCTAGTTTACACTCGTAGGCATGTTACACTGGTCACAATTGATGAGTCTTCTTCTCAGACAGTTGACCCTCTAGAATCCCCTGATCCTCCGCTTACGATATTAGATTCTTCACCAGATGATCTTCCTCCTCTTGTCGCCCTTCCCGTGTTTTTCGGCCTCCAGATAGGTACGGTTACTCTTCTCATAGCTCTATATTTACTACCCTTAACTTTATTTCCATTCCCTCCTCCTATAGACAGGCTGTGGAACAAGAGTGTTGGCAATAGGCGATAAATGCAGAGCTTGGGGCTCTTCAGGCAAATCAAACCTGGGAGGTTGTGCCATGTCCCCAAATGTGAAGCCCATTGGGAGTAAATGAGTATATTCAGTAAAATTTCGATCTGATGGTTCTCTTGAGCGCTATAAGGCACGATTGGTTGCCTTGGGAAATCGTCAAGAGTATGGAATTGATTACGATGAGACATTTGCTCTTGTAGCAAAGATGATCACAGTTCGTCTCTTGTTATCAGTTGCCGCTTCCAAGTCTCGGTCTTTACATCAAATGGATGCGAAGAATGCATTCTTACATGGGGACCTCAAGGAAGACATTTATATGAAACTTCCATTTAGTATGCCTCTTCCCTTAGCTGACTCTATTTGTAAGCTAAAGCGCTCTTTGTATGGTCTTAAGCAGGTACTAAGAGCACGGTTTGACAAGTTTCGCCGCATTCTCTTGGATTTCTCATTTACTCAGAGTCAGTTTGATTCATCTCTGTTTCTTCATCAGAGTACTGCTCGCATCGTTTTCTTGTTGGTATATGTAGATGATATTATTTTTTCTGGATCGGATCACACTCTTATTCAAAAGCTTCAACAGCATCTTCACTCGACTTTTTCATATGAAATACCTTGGTCATCTCACTTACTTCTTAGGCTTAGAGGTTCATACTAACACCGCATGGTAATTTCTTGAATCAACATAAGTATATTCGAGATTTGATTATGTTGGTTGAGTTATCTGATGCCTCTTCCGTTGATACTCCGTTAGAGCTTAATGTTAAATATCGAAAAGACGAGGGTGATATTCTTCCGTCTCCTACTCTATATCGGAAATTGGTGGGTAGTCTCATTTATCTCACTATCAGACGTCCGGATATTTCCTTTGCAGTACATACTATCAGTAGATTTATGGATGCTCCTCGTCATCTTCATTTGGTAGCGGTTCGTTGCATTATTCGTTATCTTATTGGGACTCCTCATCGTGGTCTTTCTACCCTCGGGGAACACCTCTTGAGGTCACAGCTTATAGTGATACTGACTGGGCTGGTTGTCCTGACTCTCGTCGATCTACTACTGGGTGGTGTATTTTTTTGGGTGATGCTCCCATTTCTTGAAAATGTAAGAAACATAATTGTGCTTCTAAGTCCTCCACTAAGGCTGAATATCGCGCTATGTCCGTTGCTTGTTCTGAGATTGTGTGGCTGCGTGGTCTTCTTGCAGAACTTGGTATTTTCCAATCGCAACCGACTCCTCTACATAGTGACAATACTAGTGCTATTCAAATTGTAGCTAATCCGGTATACCATGAACGCACCAAATATATTCAAGTAGATTGTCATTATATGCGGGACGCCTATGACTCCAAGGTCATCGATCTACCACATGTTTCCACTAGTCAACAAATGGCGGGCATCTTAACAAAATCTCTAACTCGCCTTCGCCATAGTTTCTTTGTCAACAAATTGATGCTTGTGGACTCACCATCATCAATTTGACCCGGGGGGGGGGGGATTAGAGGCGTGTGATTTACAATGAATTGAAAGGTTTCCTTATATAATTAGTTTTCTTTTTTAGATTATTTTTTCCTTTGTATAGTTAAGGTTTCCTTGTATATAATACAAAAAATTTCTATATATATAAAAGAAAGACACGAAGAGGATTTTATCGAGGTAAATTGATACCGAAGACTCAAAGGGTTGGAGACCGTCGACACCAACCGGATGTCACAGCTGCACCTCGCCAAACGAAAAATCAGGTTAGAGGCATGTGATTTACAATAAATTGAAAGGTTTCCTTATATAATTAGTTTTCTTTTTTAGATTATTTTTTCCTTTGTATAGTTAAGGTTTCATTGTATATAATACAAAAAATTTCTATATATATAAAAGAAAGACACGAAGAGGATTTTATCGAGGTAAATTGATACCGAAGACTCAAAGGGTTGGAGACCGTCGACACCAACCGGATGTCACAGCTGCACCTCGCCAAACGAAAAATCAGGGAGCTTGACCCCCAGACAAAGAAAAAAAATTTAAGAGGTTTGCTCTGATACCATGTAAATTGATTTAGGAGAATAATTGATTTTTTCACTTTATTCATAAACGGGTTATGCATATATATACATACAGAGGATATTTTTGATGAGGAAATAATCCTATCTAATTAGGAAAACAATTCTAAACTTATGCACCTGTCATATATACATCTGTTGTATATGTAAAGATTGTATTTAAGCTTAAATTAATGCATATAGCTCATAACAATCTTGAAGCACCAAGTGTGTACAAATATTTGTAGATGCATAAAAATCATCATACGTACCTCTACTTTCATTGTTTACAAAGTGGAAACTGAAAGGATATGAGCAAAGGAATGGTGATCCTTCTCACAAGCATGATTAGGTTTTAGGGAAACTAGTTAGCGTTAGTGGACATCTATTCCTTTTATTCTTTGACTGCTTCAGAACTTGTATCATGTTCCAGTCTCCAAAACCAAGGTTTCTTTGTTCTTATAATTTCTTCAAGTAAACAATGGAATAGTACAGCTTTCCTGAACTATCTTGTTCTTCATTGTTGAACATGGATAACATGACTGCTTAGTGTCTTTCTATTTATCAGGAAGAATTACGTCAGCAGAAAGAGGAAGAAATGGATGATTATTGTTCACAGGTATGCCAAGTAACATCTTGAGTGTGGTCACATATTCTGATAATACATCATCAGTTAAAGTTTACGATACACTTTTATGATAAAACTTAAATGATAGTTGTATGTACAAAGATGGGATATTTTTCATAAGTGCTCAGCTGTCTGGAGTATGCATGCGAGATCGAAGAAATAACCCTGTTTTTGTATCCTGTTATAGCTCTCTTACTCCCAAAATTTCTTGTCTGTTTGATCACTGATTAGAATGCAACCCAATCATCTGTGTTCAATTAAATATAGATATTTATTATTTAAGTCATAAAATATATAGCCCCTGTTTGATAGGAATTAAAATCTAGATTTCAATTTAAGTCAAAGTCAACAATTAATTTTAATAACATTGCATGGACCCTGAACTTTTCAACCACAAATTTCATTAACTTTTAATAAAATATACTAAAAATCTGATTTTAATCCCCATCAAACAGGAGCATAGTGAATGAGGAAAGGGCCGAGCAAAGACTGATAAAGTGGATCTCAGACTTCTTTGGGATCGTACGAGTGTGACAAATATGAAAGCCAAAACTTGCTTCTCTTGGGGAAGTTAATGAGCAATGGGCAAAGGGTGCTATCTGTTTGTCGAGATTTTAGATTTTCTACAATTTATCCATTTGGGTTTAATTACTGAATGTTGGCCAGGAGATAGAAATAATGAAATTGCTACGTGAAAGTTATTAACTATGTTGTTAGAGATAAGGTTAAGTACCGAACAGTCGAAGAAGTGAGCAAGCAAGGGCTAACTTATGTCGGAGTTACAACAAATATGCAAGCCTCAACGAAATGCTGATTAGCGGGTACTGTTGCATGAGGAAAGGGAGATTAAGGATAGGAGTTACCCACGCGAGCAAATCTCGGAATATGCTAGCCCCGTGTATAGAGTTGATATGAGAGCTCGCATCTTGGCACTAAAAGGTGAACTCATGGAATTAATTAAGTTGATGGATAGCGAGTACGAAGTGGGCCTCAGGAAGATTTACTGTCACAAGTGTGGGGTGGACATGAATGAATGCCCGTCAAATGGTAAGAAGGTTGTATACTTGGATTCCAAGGAGTTGACATCGAACTGGACCGAGAATAAAGAGTTGCTGGTTGAGCCAAGTGGTGAATCTCTGAGACGAACTAGAGCGGTGGAAGTGGAACATTTGGCTGAGGAAGGGGAGCTGGATACATTAAATCAGGGGCTTATGGTACTGGATGCAACAAATGATAAGGGTCCCATTTACAACGATGCAGTGAACAAGAGGCCAATAGAGGGATTTGACTCAGTGATGGAGCAAGAGACTAGAGTTGTATTGGCAGAAAGCCCAGCTACAGGAGTTGAAGAACAGCAAGGGGCGACAGGATCAGCAGCTATGGTTGTGAACACTCACTGTAGGAAACATTCAAAGTCTATGAAAGAGAGGGACTTGGGGAATAATAAACCTTTGGTGGTATGGGTTGATGGTGTTGAAAAGGAAGATATGGATAGCGATGTAGTACTGGTGGAGGATGACCCTCTCCATGTCGGGGAGATAGTGGAAGTTAGCGCTGTTGACATTAGTCCCCCGCCATCTAGCTAGGTTATCCAAAAAATTCTGGATTTCAGCAAGATGATGGGTGTATCCTGTGAAGGATATGAAACTAGGCTAATGAAATTATTTGAGGAATTGGAGGCTAGTAGGGGACAAGGGATGGGCACACCAGGTGGGAAGACAAGAAGAAAAGGTGATAGTGAACTTAAGCGGCTCGAATGCTTAGTCAATTATGACGTTAAGGGTGGCGATTCAAGGAGAGGTTTGATGGGGAGGGATGGCAGAGTGTTAAGATGATCCCAAAAATAATCAGCTGGAATGTGAGGGGGCTGAACGAAGCTGGAAAAAGATTAGTATTCGAAATCTATTAAGAGGTTGGAGCGCTGTCCTTGTATGCTTTCAAGAAACAAAGTTGGAGGTTGTGTCAAGGGCTATTGTGAGCAGTCTATTGGGGGACAGCATGTCGGATATCAATATGTCCGGTCATCGGGGGTTTCAGGAGGTTTGTTAGTCATGTGGGATACGAGTGTTTTGGTTTGTTAGTCATGTGGGATACGAGTGTTTTTAATATGGAAGAGGTCAGTGAGGGGCTATTTCCTCTCTCTTTTTTGTTCAGAAATATTGGGGATAGTTTTCATTGGTTGTTTATAGGAGTTTATGGGCCTAATACTGATGAGAGTAGGTGTGGTTTGTGGGATGAGTTGGCTGGTATGATGTCTTGGTGGGACCTTCCAACGTGTATTGGGGGAGATTTCAATGTGGTTCGATTTCCTACTGAGAGGTCTAGTGATGGGAGATTAACAGGAGCTATGGAGTATTTCTCAGATTTTGTTAGGGATAATACGCTAGTAGACATTCCTTTGATTGGAGGAGACTTCACTTGTTCATCCAACCGAGATCATCCTGTCTCATCTCGATTAGATCGATTTCTGATTAGTGGGGAGTGGGAGGCCAAATATCCAGAGGTCACTCAGAGGAGATTGGGGAAGGTTTATTCTGATCATTTCCCTATTTTGTTATCGGGGAATGTGAGGTGTAGTGGAAGAATGCCTTTTAGATTTGAGAAGATGTGGCTTAAAGTAGATGGCTTTACGGAGCGAGTAGGGGATTGGTGGGCATCTTATGAATTCAGGAGGTCTTCCAGTTATGTGTTGGACCAGAAATTAAAAGCCTTGAAGAGGGATCTGAAGAAGTGGAATGAAAAGGTGGTGGGTGATGTTAATTAGCGTAAAAATCAATGTATTCTAGAATTAGAAGAATTGGATAGGCGAGAGGAGGGTCGAGGATTGGATGGGGTGGAGAGGGAGAGACGTGGAATGTTGAGGGGAGAGTTGAAGAGACTGGTGGAGATGGAGGAGATTGCCTGGCACCAGAAATCTAGGGTTACATGGTTGAAAGAGGGGGACAAATGCACTAAATTTTTCATAGGGTCGCCAATTCAAATAGGTGCAAGAAACTCTATCACCGTGTTGGAGGTTGATGGGATTACTTATGAGGATTCGCAGGATATTGGAAATTAGATGTTGAGATTCTATCAAAATCTATATCGAGAACAGTTTGATTGGAGACCAAAGGTTGATGGACTGGACTTTTCAACTATCACGGAGGAGGATGCTAGTTGGTTAGAGAGATCATTTGTAGAAGATGAAATCAAGGACGTGGTTTTCACTATGAATGATGATAAGACACCTAGACTAGATGGTTTCTCGTTCGCATTTTATAAGGCTTTTGGGAGGTGGTGGGACCGGACATTATAGATGTTCTTACTTATTTTTTTAAGTACGGCATGTTCCTGAGAAGTTCTAATGTTACATTTATTGTGCTGATTCCAAAGAAACCGGGAGCAGTTGACATTAAGGTTTCCGCCCTATTAGCTTAGTTAGTGGGGTATATAAGATTATCGCGAAGATCCTGTTGAACAAATTGAAGGAGGCACTTGGGAAAGTGGTAACTAAGAGTCAAAAATGCTTTTGTGAAAGGAAGTCAAAATTTGGATTCTGTGCTTATAGCGAATGAATGCGTTGACTCTAGATTGCGTTTGGGGGTGCCAGGAATGTTATGTAAACTCGATATTCAGAAGGCTTATGATCATGTGAAATGAGAGTTCCTTTTGTACATGCTCAGGCGATGTGGTTTTGGAAAAAAGTGGTATAAGTGGATTCAATTCTGTATCTCTACCGTTTCATTCTCAGTTTTGGTCAACGTCAACCCGGAGGGTTATTTTCGAAGCAGTAGAGGTTTGAGGCAAGGGGATCCCTTGTCTCTATTGCTGTTTGTGATCGTTATGGAGGCAATTAGTAGGATGCTTGAGAAAGCTGTGGAAGAAGGATTGATAAGGGGGTCTACGGTTGGACACTTATAGGTTTTCCATTTGCTATTTGCAGATGATACACTGAACCTTTGCGATGCTGATAATGAGCAATTAAGGAACTTGCGTTGGCTACTTCTATGCTTTGAAGTGGTGTCAGGATTGAAGATTAATTTAAGGAAATCCGAGGCCATTCCAGTTGCCTATGTCATATCTTGGGCTCCCGTTAGGGACAAGGTTTAAAAGTAAACATATTTGGAATGGAATAATCAAAAGCGTGGAGAAGAGGTTAGCGGGGTGGAAGCGTATGTACCTTTCGAAAGGAGGCCGCCTTACTCTCATTAAATCTACTCTATCTAATCTCCCAACTTATTTCTTGTTACTGTTTCCTATTCCTGTTACAGTGGCAAACAGATTAGAGAGGATTCAAAGGAAATTTCTTTGGGTAGGGTTAGGGGAAGAGAGGAAATTCCATTTGGTTAGTTGGGGTGTGGTTTGTTCTCCTGTAAAGACAGGGGCCTTGGATTGCGGAGCCTTGTTCTATTTAAAATGCTTTATTAGGCAAGTGGTTGTGGCGATTTGGAGTGGAGAAGGGGAGTTTTTGGAAACAAATCATCGGAGCGAAGAATGGCGTGATGAAGGGGGTTGGTGCTCGATCGATGGTCGTGAATCTTATGTGGTGAGTTTGTGGAAGTATATCTGACGAGGTTGGAATGACTTTCGTGAGAAATTAACTTATGTGGTGGGGAATGGCATTAGTATCAGATTTTGGGATGATTGTTGGTGTGGAGACTACCCGCTAAAGGCACGGTTTCCTTCTTTATATCGCATTGCTTTGGAGCCTTTCGTTATGGTGAATGATGTACTAGCCACATATTATCGAAGTTACAGTTGGAATATTGTATTTGAGAGGGGTTTGCAAGATTGGGAATCGGATGATTGTGCACTGTTTTTAACCTCCTTGCACGAGGCCCATATTTAGGTAGGAGAGGATGATCGGAGTATGTGGAATTTGGCACGGGATGGTATCTTTTCAATTGCACTTATTTTAGATCCATATTGGAACCGGCTGAGAGTTCATTTCCCTGAAAGATGGTGTGGCGATGTAAACTGCCTCCACGGGTGGCTTTCTTGTTGTGGACGGTTGTGAGGGGGTAGGCGTTAACGGTGGATATTTTCGAAGAAAAGGTTTTTATGTGACCAAATGGTGTTATATGTGCAAGAGAGATGGGAAGACGATTGACCATTTGTTCCTCCATTGTGACGGTGTTCGGTGGTGGTGGAACAATCTTTTAGCTTCTCAACATTTGGATTGGGTGTTCCCTAGGTGCATAGAAGACGTAGTGAGAGCATGAAGGAGAAAATTTCAAGATAAGGATAATATGTTTGCATGAAATCTCATTCCAGGATGCATTGTATTGTGTGTATGGATAGAAAAGAACAGCCGCTGTTTCGAAGACCAAACAAGAATAATAGAGCAAATTAGATAATTGTTCTATATGATTTTGTATACTTGGTTTAATGCTGCGGCCACCAATTACATAAAAGGGCTGTCAAATTTTATGTCGTTTCTTTCTTGTTTAACTTGATAATACACCTCCCATGTATTATCCATTGATTAATAAAATTATTTGATTACTTATCAAAATTTTTTTTTTTTTTTTAAATGGCCGTTTGAACCTAAAAAGACTAGGATTTAAAGCTTGGACTTGTTTATGTGTCCTGAGATATTTTATCATATTTTCATGAGCTTGTTCTGCTATTTGCATGCAGACTGTAGCAATCATGCCTTGTATTCAGGTTCAAATTCTAATATGTAGCAGTGCAGTAATCCTATGTCGTATTCACAGTTTCATTATACTATTTCTTCTACGTTTGTTTCATTAGTGAACTTTCATGAAGTAGAAGTTACTCTAAATTGCAAGTGATATATTGCTAATTTCTGGTGTAGGTTCCTGTACGGCATTTAGTATTCATGGTTCATGGTATTGGTCAAAGATTGGCGAATTCTAATTTGGTGGATGATGTTGCAAATTTTCGCCATGTAACAGCAAGTCTTGCTGAACGACACCTTACTTTGCACCAGCTTGGCACCCAAAGAGTTCTCTTCATTCCATGTCAGGTACAGTGCAGTTCCATAATTCATTAGCATTGTTATTCTCCATTTGCTATTTTTTATATAGTGCACTTTGGATTATGGAGTTCCTTGATGATGCTTATACGACTAGAATTACCCATGTGGTTCCTCCCGTTTTTTATGTTGTAAATGGATTTTGGTACTACTTTTAGCTGTATACTCTGTTACAAGGGTCATCACAAAATTTGGTTCCCATAGGCAAGGATGCTGAGAGGATGATCATTATAGACACACAATTGACCAACTTTACAATTAATAATAACATTTTATTATTATTCTAAACTGCAATCATTACTTGGTGAGATTTAGAGGAGCGACATCAGTATATGTATGTACATACAAGATTAACAAGGAGAAAAAGATCTTCTTTGTTTTATGTATGCTCTTTCTCCATCTCTCTCATCACTTTTCTTAAGTGAGAGGGGCTTTATGCATGGTGTGTCCAACCATTTAGTTCTGCAGCAGCATTAGCGATCTGGCAGGAACCAACACAGATTATGAAGCAAAGGTAGAAAATGTAAAATTGTATTGCTAAATGAAGATGAATTATAAAATGTTGAACTTTCGAGGGGTTCAACTCTCTCCTCTCCCTAGTTTCCCATTTTCTGAATATCCTCCTCCTATTTATATAATGTTGCCTTCCTATACTATTTATTCTCCTAAATCCCCATGATGCCCCAGTGCAAATGGCAATTGAACTAACTATTAATATGGGGTTCTATCACAATCCAGTGTCATTTGGGATTCAACTGGCACTTCAATAAAGTCATTCTGCCAACACCACCATATTTTGGATAGGCTGAGACGAGATTAGTTTTCAGCCATGGTGCAATGGGTTCTGATAGATAATAAGTCATTCTGCCTACATCACCATCTTTCAGGATTCCTGTACATAGCTTTTGTAGATACATATGTAGTAGTCCTTGATCATTTTGTCCAAGAAATGGATTTCCATCATTTCTGTGAAATTTTCTAGAATAGTCATTGCTTGAATATTATTCCTAAATGTTGGTAGCTTCTTTAGGAAGACTGCATTTTAGTTTAGATCCGGGCCATGTATTTTGCATGTGAAATGGCTTACGAAGTCTCACAGTTGTCCAAATTAATGGTTGAAAATAACTCCATAGAAATAATGGGATGCTTTTCTGTAAATTCTTTCACTGGGTTTGACTGAGTCATTGTATTCATCCTCTAGAAGGTCAGATCAAATGTCCATTTCAAATGTAATCTTTTCATCATTTTTATGAAAAATGTACCCTTGTGCTTATCATTAACCCTTCCGAAGTTGTTCCATCCAGACCCTTTATAGGTTTTATGATCTTTTGACATCAGTAAACTTTCTACATGTTAATTATCCATGCACAATGTGGAGATTCTTGCTAATCATTTAAACTATAGAGGAACTCTCCAATTGAATAACTATTTACTAATCAAAATATGAATGCTGTGATATGGAAAGGAAGGGGCTGCTCAAAAATTTATTGACTATGAATTTTGGTTGCTGAAGCTTTACTCATATTAGATTTTTACCTCTTATGACAAGTGTATCTCATCAGTGATATCAGATTGCTCTATAAGTAGCACTGGATTTGCTTTTAGATTTGTATATATGGGAAATATTATGTTCCCATTTCTGATTCTGTGATGATAGACGTCATGTTTCTAATTTTACTTGAATCTTTTTTTGGTTTATCCAGTGGAGGAAGGGTTTGATGCTTAGCGGTGAAGCTGCAGTTGAAAAAATCACTTTAGATGGTGTCCGAGGGCTGCGTACTACATTGAGTGCAACGGTTCATGATATCTTATACTATATGAGCCCCATATATTGCCAGGACATCATTGACTCGGTACTGGTTTAATCTTTTTTCTTCATATGTCTTCTACTCTTTTTGATCATTTTTGACATTCCCATTCATGTTTTTCTTCTGATCCTTCTCTCATAATTGTGCCTGCTTATCAGGGCTCTTTTAGCTGTAAATTTTGATGTAGAAGAGGCTCTTCAGTTTCCTCTGGTCTTGATTATGTAATTTATCATTTATAACTTATATAAAAGTTACTGGAGCATCTTAAAACACTAAATTGCTTATAGGTGTTAGTGCACTTCTCATGTAGAATAAGGATTATAATACAGGTGCCCAATCATGAATAGGAAGAAAGAAGCATAACAATATAGGAAAGAATATGGAAAATTCTTGTTTTCTTATAAATGGTTATAGAAAATACAGGATAGAATATGAAATTTTGTGTTCTCCATAGATTTGTCCTTTAATTCCCTTTAGTTTTGATTCTTATTTCTAGTGAAACTCTGAATAACTTCAATTCAATTCCTTTTTCATAAATGTTAATTAACTAGTCAGGAGTTTTTATGAAGTTTGGATTGAATTCATGTCTTTGTCAGGTGTCCAACCAACTTAATAGATTATATTTGAAGTTTCTTAAGAGGAATCCTGGTTATGAAGGAAAGGTACGTGGGAAACATGGATATATAATTTGAATAGTTGAACGTATTCTTTATGTGACCAAGTCATGCAATTGTTTTCTATTTTTATAGGTTTCCTTGTTTGGACACTCTCTAGGAAGTGTTCTATCTTATGATATACTTTGTCATCAAGAGACTTTGTCTTCCCCTTTCCCGATGGAGTGGATGTACAAAACTCACAGTAGAAGTGAGACGTCTTATCTTCACAGCAATGAGTTGACATCTATCTTAAATTTGGGAGACGAGAACTCTGTAGATATTAAATGTAAAAGCATGTTAGGTCCTGAAGAGAAAGAGAACACACAGGGAGAGGCACAGTATCAGGACTTTGTGGAAGAACCTCGGGAGGGATCTTATGATCCAGTGATTTCTCCAGCATCATCAGAGTCAGATGAATTGACTACAACAGATGGTGGTCCCCAGCAGACAAATGATGCCTCATCATCAGATAAAAATGTAGATGAACCTTCTGTTGATTGGAAACCCATTGCATCCTATAAATGTGAAATGATGAATGACCCAAATAGCATTAAGAGTTCACTATACAATAAAAATGATGACGCGCCATTCGACAGTAACAACGCTGAAACGATCAAATCATTGAGGGAAGAGGTGATATGTAATTAATCTCTGTCTTATTTCCTGATATTTTAATCTCTCTTTTTAGTGATGCACTTAAGTTTCAGATTGTTTTGCTGAAAGCCAAAGTCAAAGAATTTGAATCTGGATGTGCCAACAGTGGTATGGATTGGGATCAGTTAAAGTGTTGTTAGACTATATTTTTGTTTGGTATCTAAAATTGATAGTGTTCATAAATTGAGTGCCTGGTACTTAATGCTACATGCTACATATGAAAGGGGAGAAGACAACTGGAGTAAATCAACCTGATCCAGAGAGGGTTCTACCTAAGCCAAGTGATTCCTTGAAGACCAATACCCTTCAAATAAGATACACAAAATTAGAATTCAAGGTAATTTTCTTCCAGGATAATACCTTTAGGACTATCGCTTGGTTCATTCTAAGCATGAGAAGCATATCTTATGATGCTGGTTAGAATACGAGTACCTATTATTCATAAATAAGACTAAGCCTCCATTTGCAAAGATTTTATCAACGGTTTTACTACTCCAGGATCTATTGTAATATGTGATTCAAAATGAAGTTTGACAATTTATAAGTTGATTTATAAAGTTTGCCAACCTGTTACTAAATATATTGTTTGTACTCGCTCCATTCCTCCTTTTGATCCTTGCTGAACTCTCTTTATTCATTTTCTTTGAACTTCAGGTTTCCATTTGAACACATGACAACTTCTAGTCTAGACAAATTTGTATTTGTTAATACCTGCATACCTGCATACATGACTTCTCTTAATTCTCCCACCATTCTCTTTGCCCTGTGTTCCATGCTAAAGTTGGTATTCGTTTAATTCAGACGGTTCTTGATGTTAGGTTGACACATTCTTTGCTGTTGGATCTCCTCTTGGAGTGTTTCTCGCTCTTCGCAATGTTCGTATTGGGATAGGTAATGGTTAATTATTATTACTTTTATACATCTTTGTTCTTATCTTCTTTGTTTCTCCGATTCTGGAAGTGGTTTCCGGGATTCTTTAAGTTTGCTTTTTGAAGAAAATTATATTAAATCATGTCTTCACATTTTCATTTTTCCTTTTGACGCATTTCCTGCTTCGAGTAGCATTGATTTTCACTCCCCTCGCCTAATCAAGTTTTTGTGTAAATTGAAGTCAAATATGTCAACTGAAGCTTATATGACCTCAAGGCATATATATATTTTTTTGATCGGTAAATGTAAAATTTCATAGATCAAAATTCATTTACAAGTACGCCTGGCATACCCAGGAAATCAAAAGTGAAGTAACCAATACATATATACTGGGCATACCCAGGAAGTCAAAGGCAAAATAACCAAACATGTACACCGAGAATACCCGGGTAGATCAAAAGAAAAGATTGACCAACAACGAACTAAAGGGCCACTACTAAAGATTCAAAATGAATTAAAACATAATGATACAAAGTAAATATAACTTTGTATACATGTGCTTTAATCCGTCTAACAATAATGTCAACTTGCGGCTTAATACCTTAAAAAATACTTCTATTCCTTGCCATCCAAATGTAGTACACGGTGGTTGCAAGTGCAATAAGTTTTGCTCTACTTTGCCAACTCTTACCTCAAGCTTCCTTTTTCATCCATTTGACTGAGCTCAACAAGGTAGACATTCTTCGCTTAATACCCAACCAATCCTGAATATGGTCCCAAACATCCTTACAAATCGAGCATAAGAAGAAGAGATGTTGGGAAGTTTCCTCCGTAAGTCCACAAAAGGGGCAGTGTCGGTCCATTTCAAGGTGCTGCAATCTGTCTTTAGTTTGCTATTTTTCCCGAACAGCTAGCCACAGAATGAAGGCATGTTTAGGAGTAGTAGAACCATCCCAAACAGAGGTAGCCCAGGCGGCTTTCCTTCCTTTCGGTCTGAAGAAATCGTAAGCAGATTTGGTGCTGAATCTGCCAGCTTCTGTCAATTCAATTAATCTGTCCATTCCCAGCTTGGATTTCATGTTGTGGTTTCATGATGTTGTCCCGAATTTCCAACAACTTTTTTAGTAGTGGGGAATCATCTTTCTTCACTCTATACTTCCAAAAGTCCGTCCCTCGAAGGTGAACCTCATTTATCCATTTAATCCATAGACTATCCTTCTTACTGTGAATGTTCCAAAGTGTTTTGGAAGGGAGTGCAGCGTTCCAACTTTTAATGTCTGTAAATCCAAGCCCACCTTCATGCTTTGGTAGGCAAATTTGATTCCAAGCAACCAATGGTTTCTGGGATCCCCATAAGAAGCTTCGACAAAGACTAATGATTTTAGAAATTACCGTAGCCGGGATGGGAAAAATGGATAGCCAAAAACATTCCACTCATTGTAGAACGGCTCCCACAAATTCCGCTCTACCTGCATATGACAATGAAGAAGTCGATCATGCACCAATATATGCAGAAATTTTATTGGTAAAAGAATCATATGAGCTTACTTTCAATTTTTCAGCCGCAAGTGGGATGCCTAAATAGCGAAATGGCATGGTACCTTTTGGAAGATTTGTAAGTGCAAGGATATCCTCGAAGTCTTGACCATGAATACTCGCAGTGTAAAGACAAGATTTCCCAACATCTATATTGAGACCCGACATGGCACCAAAGTTGAAAGACACTTCATTAAAATATCCACCGATATCACATCCCCTTTAGCAAAAAGCATCAAGTCATCCGCAAAAGCCAAGTGTGTAATCTTTAGGTGTGCACATTTAGGATGAAAATTGAAATGACTATCATTTGTAGCCTCCTTTACCATTCTAGAGAAGTATTCAAGGCATAGAATAAATAAGGAAGGAGATAAAGGATCACCTTGACAAAGGCCTTTCTTCCCTTTGAAAAACCCATGCAGAGTGCCATTAAGAGTTATGGAATGAGATGGAGTTGTCACACACTCTATAACCCAATCAACAAATGTAGTGGGGAAACCCAATCCCTAAAAGACTTTCACAAGAAAATCCTAATTCACCGAGTCATAGGCCTTCCTTAGGTCAATTTTAAGAAGGCATCTAGGAGCGATCCTCTTGCGGTTGTATTGCCTCAATAGCTCTTGGGCCAAGTGGATATTCTCAATCATGCTCCTTCCCTTCACAAATGCGGCTTGTGCTTGATCAATAATGGAATCAAGCATAGGCTTCAACCGAGAAGCAAGAGTCTTTGTAATGATTTTATAAAAAACATTACAACAAGCAATGGGCCTATAGTCCCCAACCGACGTAGAATGATTTCCCTTTGGTACCAAAGCAATGCTTGTGTGATTGGTTTGCTTGAGTAGAGACCTCGATTAAAAAAATTCCTCAATTGCCTCCACAAAATCATTGCCAACAATATCCCATGATTTTTTGAAAAAACAAGATGTGTATCCATCTGGACCCGGTGATTTGTCGTCCCCAATACTAAAAAGGGCATCTTTGATCTCTTGTCTCGTGATGTCCCGGACAAGCAACATAGCATTTTCCTCCGATAAAGTAGGTCCGCTCCTTAAAATTTCAGCATTTACATGCTGTCCAAAACTGTTTTGTCCCAACAATTCACTATAAAAGTGAACAGATTCTGTCGCCACCTCTTCTTGGGAGGTAGAATAATTACCATCCCTCATGATTACAGCTGGAATGAAGTTCCTTTTGGCATTCCTCTTGACCAAAGAGTGGAAATACTTGGTGCATTTATCACTATTCTTCAAGTGCACACACTTTGCTTTTCTCGTGATGTTCCGGACAATCTCAGTGCATATTTTGTTACTGCTGATGCTTGCTAACTGTTACAAGTTCACTCTGATGAAGCTTTCTAGTCTAACATTTGACTGAATTGCACAGTCAAGAGAATATCCTCCTGTTCTTTTAATTTATTTCCATCTTGTACAAATTCTGTAAGACTTGAAAGCTTGATACAGTCTTAGTTTGCTTAGTTTTCCAAGTAGGGCGGGAATCATTTCATATTTGGTTTTGTCAATTCAAGTTCAGAACTTGAAATCTTGTTTAGGTTTTCCCATGATTATCCCACATGTTTAAGATGAGGATTTGATCAGTTGAGCAGGTCCTACATGTAAGACTTGTTACATTCAATTGTCTCCTGTTATATGTTGAACAAATTATTTTTCTTCTATTTTGGGTTGCTAGGGAAAGCAAAAGAATATTGGGAAGCAGAAAATATAAATGAAGAGATGCCAACATGTCAACAAATGTTTAACATCTTTCATCCTTTTGATCCTGTGGCATATAGGTCTGTCTTTACAATTTCTATCACAATTCTTTTGAACCATTTTGGTTTCTGACCTCATATGAAGTAGTATTTGTTTTCCTCACAGAATAGAGCCTCTTATCTGTAAAGAATTTATAGACCAACGTCCGATCATTATTCCTTATCACAGAGGTGGGAAACGGCTGTATATAGGATTTCAGGTAATGACAATATAATGTTAGATGATGCCTATGCTACTGTGCTTGCTCCTTTTATATTGTGTGCTCATCCTCTTGCACAGGAATTTAAGGAAGGGTTATCTTCAGGCTCTCAGGCTTTGATGAATCACTTAAACACAGCAAGGGTGGGTGCCTCAGTCGTTTTACTTTATTTTTTATTTTTCAATTTTATCAAATATTGGTCATTGTCACGCTCATCTATTGCAGTTTGATTAACAATGACTCTTGTTTTATGCTATTTAATTAGGTAAAAGTTCTCACATTCTGTGAATCAGGAGGCAAAAATGACTGTGATGGTAAGCGCTCTTCTTATGCTTTTTGTTTGCCTTACTTCCTATTATTTTGTGTCTCGTTTCTGACTGTATTCGTCTATTTTGGTACCAGGTCTCTTTGGTTGAGTCACACAATATTTTCTGTTTGTTGAAGTTATTGTCGTATTTCTTGCAGAGGAACTAGAAAATCCCAAAGAAGAGAGATCATATGGCTCAATTATGATGGAGAGACTGACTGGAAGTGAAGATGGGCGAATTGATCACATTTTACAAGTACGTACTTTTACCATCTTGGCTTCTTTCTCATCTGCTTGATATTATTCAACTGCATGCCAGCTATTCAAATCCGATGTTCCATTGGTTTTGACCTTCGGGTTTTACTAATGCAGGATAAGACTTTTCGCCATCCGTACTTATCAGTCCTTTCATCACATACGTAAGTGTCAATTTTCTCGTGAATATGCTGGTCTTGTTTTCTCTATCTTGAAAGGTTTTGTACCTTTTATATGTATTGTGGCAAAAAATAGAAGTCCTTTTGATGATCGTATATATCTTTACAGAAACTACTGGAGAGATCACGATACCGCTCTTTTTATATTAAAACACTTGTATCGAGATATACCGGAGGAACCCCTCTCACCAAGTGAGCATCTAGAAGGCAGCTCAAGAGATGGAAACAATTTTGAAGGCTGGTCCAATCCGAGTAACATTTGACTGAATTGCACAGTCAAGAGAATATCCTCCTGTTCTTTTAATTTATTTCCATCTTGTACAAATTCTGTAAGACTTGAAAGCTTGATACAGTCTTAGTTTGCTTAGTTTTCCAAGTAGGGCGGGAATCATTTCATATTTGGTTTTGTCAATTCAAGTTCAGAACTTGAAATCTTGTTTAGGTTTTCCCATGATTATCCCACATGTTTAAGATGAGGATTTGATCAGTTGAGCAGGTCCTACATGTAAGACTTGTTACATTCAATTGTCTCCTGTTATATGTTGAACAAATTATTTTTCTTCTATTTTGGGTTGCTAGGGAAAGCAAAAGAATATTGGGAAGCAGAAAATATAAATGAAGAGATGCCAACATGTCAACAAATGTTTAACATCTTTCATCCTTTTGATCCTGTGGCATATAGGTCTGTCTTTACAATTTCTATCACAATTCTTTTGAACCATTTTGGTTTCTGACCTCATATGAAGTAGTATTTGTTTTCCTCACAGAATAGAGCCTCTTATCTGTAAAGAATTTATAGACCAACGTCCGATCATTATTCCTTATCACAGAGGTGGGAAACGGCTGTATATAGGATTTCAGGTAATGACAATATAATGTTAGATGATGCCTATGCTACTGTGCTTGCTCCTTTTATATTGTGTGCTCATCCTCTTGCACAGGAATTTAAGGAAGGGTTATCTTCAGGCTCTCAGGCTTTGATGAATCACTTAAACACAGCAAGGGTGGGTGCCTCAGTCGTTTTACTTTATTTTTTATTTTTCAATTTTATCAAATATTGGTCATTGTCACGCTCATCTATTGCAGTTTGATTAACAATGACTCTTGTTTTATGCTATTTAATTAGGTAAAAGTTCTCACATTCTGTGAATCAGGAGGCAAAAATGACTGTGATGGTAAGCGCTCTTCTTATGCTTTTTGTTTGCCTTACTTCCTATTATTTTGTGTCTCGTTTCTGACTGTATTCGTCTATTTTGGTACCAGGTCTCTTTGGTTGAGTCACACAATATTTTCTGTTTGTTGAAGTTATTGTCGTATTTCTTGCAGAGGAACTAGAAAATCCCAAAGAAGAGAGATCATATGGCTCAATTATGATGGAGAGACTGACTGGAAGTGAAGATGGGCGAATTGATCACATTTTACAAGTACGTACTTTTACCATCTTGGCTTCTTTCTCATCTGCTTGATATTATTCAACTGCATGCCAGCTATTCAAATCCGATGTTCCATTGGTTTTGACCTTCGGGTTTTACTAATGCAGGATAAGACTTTTCGCCATCCGTACTTATCAGTCCTTTCATCACATACGTAAGTGTCAATTTTCTCGTGAATATGCTGGTCTTGTTTTCTCTATCTTGAAAGGTTTTGTACCTTTTATATGTATTGTGGCAAAAAATAGAAGTCCTTTTGATGATCGTATATATCTTTACAGAAACTACTGGAGAGATCACGATACCGCTCTTTTTATATTAAAACACTTGTATCGAGATATACCGGAGGAACCCCTCTCACCAAGTGAGCATCTAGAAGGCAGCTCAAGAGATGGAAACAATTTTGAAGGCTGGTCCAATCCGAGGGAATTGGCCGATGATGAACTCCCTTTGACATTTGCTGACAGCATCTTTATAAAAAGAATCTCCAGCAGGTTGAAGAAATCCATGAAACACTGAATGAGATGGCCTGTTTAGACGGGTCGGGTCTTTATAGTTACTTAATAGATGAAGTATTTGAGCAGCTAGCTAGGGTAAATTGTTTTGTACATAGAAAGCAAACTGGAATTGTATTTGTTTGGATATAGGTACAAAGAGGAGCATAGGTAGCATGAAAGCCTTTTCTGTTTTTTTCTCCCCTTGAAATATGTAATGACTATTTTGATATTCGTCTTTTAATTAATGCTCATGGATCATTCGCAATTCAAGAGACTAGCAAGAGGCATGTTTCGTATAATACAATGTTATATCCTCGAAGCCAGCTCAACATTAAGCGAGTTAGGCAGTTATTTAAGGCTCCCGGTTTTGCACGAGTCTCAATGTTTAAAATTTAATGTTTTAAACTTTATTTCTTCTTAAGAAGAATTTATTCATCAGTAATAATATTAAATAAATAAAAAAAGGTTATGAGATGTATTTTTAGTTAAATACTAATCGGAAATTCGAAAGTTCGATGATTTATTTATGGGAGAATTTTACGCAAATTATTGGGACTTTTGGGACTTCTTGGAGAGTACTATAAATATCGACTCTCAACACATAATTAGGGTTGAAGAATTGATTGTAAAAGGAGGTGAAAAGCACATCAAGTTTAAATTTCAAGAACTTCAAGATTGAATTCAAGAATTTCAGGGTGATGAACAACTTTTATTTACTTATTTTTTCTTTATAACACATTAGTCTAGAGTACTTTGTGCTATGAGAACGATGAATCTTTTAGCCCTTGTTTTAGTCACATTATTTTGGAAAAAAATGCATTTTTAAATAGTGTATTGATGAGAAATATGTAGTTAAAAAATAAGATTTTTTTTTTGAATTTGGGTGTAATATTATTTTTTAGAAAAATGTGGTCGAAATGATGTCAAAAAATCAATGTTTAAAAATATATATTTTTCCAAATAATGTGGATCTAACAGGGCCTTAGTATAAGTTTTTAATTTTACATATTTGTCTTCAAAAACACGTTTTTGGATATAGAATGGTTTACATGATTATCCTTTCTCTACAATTATTGTGCACGGTAGTTGTATGAATTTTGTGGCTTATTTTATGTATTCGAAAAAGGAAAAATATGTTCGACATGGTATAAATTATCATATGGTCCGATAGAGGATAAAAATATATCGCTATACTCTATGTGAATCTTTAATTGTTGTTGATAAACAGGTTCGATGAAAACTTTTTCAGAGAAGAAGTTAATTCATTTTCGTCTCATATTCTTCCATAATATAGAAATACAAAGAGCATACACATAGAAAGATAGTACAAATATGGAAGCAAAATAAACCTAATTTCATTCTTGCCTAAATTAAATTATTGTAACTTATTTATTTTCCTAATGACACTAACTGCATAGGAAATAATTGGTCATGTGGTAGTAAGATAATTCAATTTTTCAACCAAACGATGAATTTTTTTTTTTTTTTTGGTTCTCCAAACAGTTCTCTTTCATCCTTCAAAAACTTCACATTAGGATCTATGAGAGTATTAATTGGACGAGTTTCAAGAAAACTTATCTAATCTAACATGTTAGCTATATATTTTCTTTGAAATAAATTGATACCTACTCGTGATCTAGCAATTTCAATACCCAAGAAATATTAGAGCTTGCCTAGATCTTTGGTCTAAAAATATTTTTGTAGAAATTGTTTCAATCGAGCAATCTCATCTGCATTATCACCAGTGATTATAATAACATCTACATAAACTGTAAAGATAACATAACTTGCACCAGTTCGTAGATGAAATACTGAATAATTTGTTTGACACCTCTGAAGACCAAATTTCCAAACAATTTCATAAAGCTTCCCAAACCATGCCCTTGATGATTGCTTTAACCTATATAAAACATTTTTTTAATTTATAAACATAGTCATGATACTTCTTCTGAGCAACAAACCCAAGTAGTTGCTCCATATAAATCTCTTCGTGCAAGTCAGCATGGAGGAATACATTTTTAATATTCAATTGAAATAGAGGCCAACCGAGATTAGTAGCGATATAGATCAAAACATGAATAGAAGAGATTTTAGCAACTGGAGAGAATGTTTCATTATAATCAATGCCATAGGTCTATGTGTAATCTTTAGCAACCTGTCAGGCTTTCAATCAATCAACAATTCCATTAGGATTAAACTTCGGAACAAAGACCCCTTTGTTACCAACATGAAGTATTCCAGTTTGTGAAGGAAACATACTTTTGGAAGAAGAAGAGACTGCAAAAATTACCAAACCCTAGTGATGTTGCTCTAGCCCCTGTCTAATCTTTATTCTTTCAAGAATACATTTTTTCAAAATTCATTTTTAACCACACATTCTTCTATAAAATAATTATACACGTATTTCAAATTTTTTTCCATACTTTCTAACCACACATTCTTTAAAAAAACACTATTTCATAATGCATTTTATTCAAAAAATGGGAATCAAATAGGGGCCTAATACCATGTTGATAAACATGTTTTTCGTGAAAACTTTAGTATTGATAAAGTTAATTAATCTTTCTCTCATTTTCTTCCATTATATAGAGGTACAAACAGTATACACATAGAAAGATAGTAAAATATGGAAACGATATAAACCTAATTGCATTCTTACCTAAACGAAATTATTGTAACCTATTTATTTCCTTAACAAATGTTCATAAAAAGTTTACATACTCTTGTATGTTTGCATTCGTCATAAAAACATAGTCTGGTCATATATGAAAGTATGTTTGACACTATTCGAGAGAGATTGTTGAATAAAATAAGAATATTGATTCTTCAAAATTCAATCGTGTTGTCAAGTGTAGAACTAAGGTTAAAAAATTATTACATGGGAATTCCAATTATTTTGGTTATAATTTTGTTACAACTTGCATTTAGCTTGATTAATTTACTCATAATTTCATAAGTAAATTATTTTTGGTTATAATTTTGTCATAAACAAACACATCACATTATTATTATTTCGTTGAGGCTTAGTTTATTTGAATTTAAACCAATGCAATATTTGTGGGTACGATATTTGGACTCAAAATCCATTTTACTACTTATTAACGAACCATGCACCTATGGTATTTCAAAAAAACAATATTTTTGTCGACATTCTTCATCTAGGTCATTTCTTGGATGACACTTTTGACTTTTTTTTTTTTTATCTTTGCTGCAACTGTTTGTTGTGATAAAAGTGAAGAAAATGTTGTTCATTCAGAGATTCTTATAGGGAGGTTGATAGTGGAGCCATTGGTTTGTAGCCAGATTTTTGACCGGAAGGAATAATCGTCAAGCATATAGGGAAGGAGGGAGTGGTGGTTGCGAGGTATGCAGGAAGCGGCGGGGGATAGATTTTGGTGGGGGCAGGAAGGGAAGAAGATGAACATTTTTTCCTTTTTATTTGTTAAATTTGTTTTTATTTAGTTTTTAATTATTTTATTGGATAAATATAAAATTACAAATTTTCTCTTTTAACTTTAATCAAATTAAATTTTTTTTTTTGGGTTGACTAACTGTCAAACGAATTTTTTTCCATCCATATATCATACAACTGCAATCGACATAAAATGTTTGGGATTCTAGGTGTAAAAATAAAATATTTGAATATAGTCTGCAGTAATTTAAAATGTTTGGGATCGCAACTACAGTACAATATCGTTAATTACCTATATGATTTTGGAATAATGCTTATTGGGATCAATGACAAGGATGAAGGAGACAGGGTGGTGTGGTAGATAGTGATTGGATGTTTTGTGTGTGTGTGTGTGTGTTTTTTTTTTCAAACTGTCTAATAATATATTGACACATGTCCACTCTGTCTTTGAGTCTGATACCGTAGCAAGATTGATGATTTTGTGTATTCATAAGGACAAGGCACTGAATGAGTTTCGATTCGCGGGTTACGTATGTATGAAATATAATTGGTCCGGCTCTCTCACAATATTGGAACAAAGCGACTGTTATGTACATATATGAGATGCGAACAAGGCATGCACATGAAAACATGCCCCCGTGAAAAGCTTAATTTAACAACACACAAATACATGCATGTGACACCCATGCCCCTATTACAACCTTTGTTGAATGTCCAAACATCAAAATCTTTGTTATGATTGGATCCATCCTATACCAACTTGTTGGAAATTTCATTCCATAATCATTTTCAGAAATTATATACATGCATGTCTCTTTCAATGCAGAATTATTATCTTTGTATCCAAGGTGAAGATCAGTGCTTGCCAATTTGACATTATCTTTTCGTGGAACAATTGCAATCATCCAATGTTCTTTCATTTTTAGCTCCAAACATCTTGTAGGGGGAATTTACGTTTTTTCAACTTGTGATCATTAATGTCTCCATTAGTCAATATCAGCTAATTTAATAACAATCTTCAACAAGAATTTCACTTGTTTGTTAGTGTGCTTAAAGGTTGACGTTTTAAGATGAAACTTCAAGTTTCAATATGATGATATAGCTCACCAAGTTCAAACGAACAAATCAATCAATTTAAAATTCAAACAAGCTACTAAATTTTAAAATTAAGTTTCTCAATGAGTCATTATCTTGTGGAACATAATAAGTCAAATAAGAAAACCATGTATAATCAAAACTGAATGAAACAAAAGACTGAAACTGCACTCGAGATTCACCCTAAACAACAAATTTCTAGTCATTTTCCCCAAGACGGCTCCTGGACACGAAAAATTTTCGTGAACACCTGTCACCTGGCATATGAACGTAGACCATCTAGCATATATAAATATCTCCAGTGCACAAGTTAATTACATATCACTATATATATATATATCTTGTCTAGCTTATTTATTGTAGGTGAGAAGTGGACAATGGAGACCAAAATAGCGAAAACCTATCCAGTGCACAAGTTAATTACATGTCACGATATATATATATATCTTGTCTAGCTTATTTATTGTAGGTGAGAAGTGGACAATGGAGACCAAAATAGCGAAAACCTATCCAGTGCACAAGTTAATTACATGTCACGAGCATGGAAGACATTGGGATTCTTGACTACAATATCATACATGTAAATGGAATTGAACTTGGAAAAGTCCCTAGGTAAAGAAATGAGATCAATAGAAGAGTGCTTGTGGAGTTGGAACAGCTGTGGGTCACCACCAGAATACCTGTCCCAACTTAAATCCCCCAGAACCTGCTCTAGACAATTGTAAGATGACACCACTTGGCCTGTTGGCAAGTGCACCAACAT